CAATATGCCACCGTAGGAGTCTTTTGTTCTGTTACGATCTTTTCATCTACAGAAAATTCCATTCTTAGGTTCAGCGTGGAACAGTATATTTGCTAAAGAATGGCGGTATCATTTCACTCAGATTTGTTTTGCACGAAGTGACCAGTAGAATATTACTAGAAGAATTCTCCAAGTGTTAGCCTATCTGATGCCAACTGTCTCTGCCGCGCTTCAGCTCAGCGGTTCTCGGATGAAGTATTTCAGGTGGCTGTTGTCGTCCGTTTAATTCATTGAGCGATCCTCTACTTTGCTTTCTAGGATTACTGCATTCAAGCTTATTCTCGCGTTCCTTATGTGTCGTGTTTGTACCAGTTTTCGTACGGTATTACTTAAGTGTTCTTTATATAATCAGGTCTGAAAATGCACGTTAGTCGTTTGCTTCCTTTGACACTTTAGGTCACGATCCGCCGTTCGCATTTACAATTCCATTTCCTTTGACGGTCTAACACCATTTCCTCATCGGTCTAACTCTCGACATGTCGATATAGTATCGATTTTCCTGCTAGAACATGTTTGACATCTATTTCACTTCATGTCTGCAACCTCTTATGTTTTTTCTCAGTGCAGAGATCGTACTGTGGACCTGCTCATGCAGATATAATTTTTATTTGCTTATGTTGCGTGTTATTTGCTATGTTCAACGGATTCGTTGTTTTGTTTAAAGCTATGAGGAGAGTTCTCTATCTGTTTACAGGCGTCGAAGCTTTCTGTTTCAGATTCCCAGTTATGTGATTAATGCTGCATCTGTTCCTGCCGTAGCCAGCTTTCAAAATCCTTTCATCTTCTGAGATTATGTCAGGGGAGATGTGGAATGGACTTCATGGGCTCGGAGGTGAGATAATCTCTAACTCAGGTCATGAACCTTGCAGCAGCCTCGAACCTACTCTACTTTTCCTCACTTTTACCTACAGCTTAATAGTACACCCTTAAATTCCTTTGGATCAGCGCTATGAATCTGATGCTACCGTGATCCGCCGGTTGAAAGTAATCAGTGCAACCAAGGAGGCAATATTGGCTGACCACCGCTGAAAATTGTTATAGAATGGAGATATGGAAAGAAACATATGGTCAGTCATCTCGATCTTCCGCCTGACGCGTGTAACTGCATAGCAGATGTTTTCAGGATTCTGCATCGATCCAGCCCCTAGAACTTAGGAACGCAACAAATCGCCGTCAAAGCACATACGATAGAGAGAGCAAGAAAGAAGCTGAATTAGAGCAAGAATAACATCGATGTTATGCTTCCTACGTGAAGCACCAACCAACCTGGGTTCCCTTTAACTTCGTCACTAATACGGTTGAAGATGGAGTGATAGTCGAACAATAGACAGAAACTGTCTATTGACAGAACTTTTTCAGTTTTGAATTCGCAGTCCTGAAACCAATCGCTCTATGGCTCCTATAGCCTAATTGGTCCGAAGTTCTGTCCACAGTCGACAAGTCTTCATCTTCATCTTCCATCGCCGCTTCTCCTTTCGGGTCGCGGAGGCAGACGCGTCAGACAGTGC